GAAAATAGCCAGATGGTGGTGACAGACACCTTTAATCTTAGCACTTGAGAGACAGAGACAGGCAGATCTCTGAGTCTGAGGCCTATCTACAGAGCAAGTTCTAGGACAGCTAGGACTACACAGAGAAACCTTGTCTTGAGGGCAAAAAAAACCCCACAAAAAGCAAAAAAGAAAATCTTTTGGCTTCTTATTGTTGTTTTGTTTCATTTGGGGTTTTTTTGTTATTGTTTTGAGACAGAATCTTACTTTTCTCAGGCTGGTCTTGAACTTGTGGTCTTCCTTCATCAGACTCTTAAGTACTGGATTTATAGTCATGAACTATCACATTTGGTCAATAAAATCTTCAGTAAATAATTGGCTTGATGCCAGGTATGGTGCCCTCACCTTTAATCCCAGCACATGGGAGTTAGGCAGGTAGATCTTGGGAGTTTGAGGCCAAACTGATCTACATATGAGTTCCAGGACAGCCAGAGATACACACAAAAATCCTGTCTCAAAACTGAACAGAAAACCCCAAAACAAAATATAACCTCATACTTGACCTGAATTTTAGTAGTCTGTGGGTATTTAGAGGAACTACTATTTGATTTTAAAGGCTAACTACTTATAGACCATTTGATTCAAAACTATTAGAGAAGAATATTGGTTGAATACGTATAGAAGGAATTTTTTTTTCTGCTAGTTGTCATAGTTGACTTCTGTTTTCCATAATAATAGTATTTTAAATTTTAAGTTACTAACATGTCTCCTGTCTTCTTTTTTTCTTGTCTTTTTAAACTGTGTGTGTGAGAGAGAGAGGGAGAGGGAGAAAGAAACAGAGAGAGAGAGAGAGAGAGAGAGACAGACAGACAGACAGACAGACAGACAGACGGACGGAGGAGGAAAGGGTTTCATTCTATAGCTCAGGTTGCCCTTGAACTCATTGTATAACCTACACTGGCTTCAGTCTTATAGCAATCCTCCTGCCTCCATGTCCACAGTGCTAGGATTACAGACGTGAGCAATCACAATCAGCTCTTTTAGTTTGTAAAGCCTGACCTGGAACTTGCTGGCCTTGAACTCTTGATCGTGTGTTTCCTTCAGAAGACTATATTGTGTACCACCATTCCCAGCTCATAGTTTACTTGGTAACTGTTGCTGACTTTAACCTGAAGGAATAGAAAACCCGTAAGCAGTATATATCAGTGACTTCTGTAAAGATACAGGGATTTCTTTGCTCAGTATTTTTTGTTGGCTGCAAAGGCAGTAATTGAAAAACTTGTATAATCTTTTATTTTTTTTCTAAAGGTTTACTTATGTATACTGTATTCTGCTTGCATGTATTCCTGTGTGCCAGAAGAGGGCACCAGATCTCATTATAGATGGTTATAAGTCACCATGTGGTTACAGGGAACTAAACTCAAGATCTCTGAAAGAGCAGCCCGTGCTCTTAACCTCTCAGCCATCCCTCCTGCCCCTAAAAACTTATATAATCTTAAAGATCCACAGTTCAGAGGCACCTCTGGCTACATAGCAAGTTTGAGACTAGTAAGGATACATAAGACTCTGTTTCCAAAAAGAAATAAAATAAAAATTTAAAGGACATAAGTAAGGTATTTTTCTCTTTAGTTCTTTGAGCAAATAATTATTGAGTATTATGTGTTACTCTTGTAGAACAATAATTAACAAAGACTTAAACAAAAACCACACCAGAATGCTGGGATTATGTGTGTGTCATCATGCCTGGTTTAGGTGGTTTCAGGTTCAAACCCAAAGCTTTGTTCCTGCGGAGTCCACACTTGGCCAGCTAAGCCGGACCTGACAGAGACTTACTGAACTTCAATTTGTGACAGATTTTAGTTATCTCTTAACTTAGAGATTTCAGATATTTTCACATGTTGGTTTCATATTGGTACTTTATACTTTAGTTTCATATATTACTGTTTTTGATTAGATCACCTGAAACCCTGAAACTGGATTAAGTAAAGAAGATAGCCATTAATTTGAATCACTCCAATACCCCCCCCACCCCCCCACCCCGAGACAGGGTCTCTATGCAGCTCTGGCCATCCTGGCACTCACTGTGTAAACCAGGGTATTCACAAATTCATAGAGATCTGCCTGTTTCTGCCTCCTCGGTGCTGGGATTAAAGGTGTGTGCTACTACACCCAGCCCACACATTTATTTTAATGAAAAATAGATGTATATATAATATATATACTTTTTTAGGAGTATCTAACTATCAAGTCGAAGAAGATATAGGGAAGTTGAAGTCCTGTCTTACTGGCTTCCTTCAGGAATATGGGTTATCTGTAATGGTGAAAGATGACTACGTCCATGAATTGTGAGTATTCTTTAGAGGATATAGAAGTAATAGTCTCCCTGTTTGTGGTTAGACTAATAAAAATTGAAACCTCCTCTTTTCCTGTAGTTGCCGATATGGAGCTGCTGAGCCTCACACCATTGCTGCGTTCCTGGGAGGTGAGTTTTACAGATGAAATGACTTATTTGTTGTTATAGAATACAATTATTTCTATTAACTCTTTGTTTTCTTGGCTGTTTTAATTAGTGAGGTCAGTGAAGCAGACTGTGTGGTTTAGGTTAATCGTTAGCTCTCCACACTATTCTTCCACCCTCTGTTTTTCCCACGGCCATCCATGTTAAAGTCCTGAACAGTCATTAGTCCTTGGGAAGGATGCTTTTGATCATGAACCGCACTGAACTTTCTAATCACAAGTACACACTCAGACCTTCCTTCCTTTTCTTCCTGTTTTGTCTTCCTGCCCCAACAGTTCTCAGAAACAAAGCCTAACTTGACTTAAAGGTCCTGTGTACTTCCTTTTCCCTGAGACATGAGGTCTTTGTACCTCAGAGTCCAGGTCAAAACTGCGTTTCTCTCATAAAAACTCCTTTATCTGTTTGTTCTCACCATTTCTTAGTTAAGTTAGTTATTGTATGGGTACCTTATAAACATCCGAAATTTATTTCTTATAGTTTACAAAGATCAAAATGAGGATGCCAACATAGTAAAGGATCTGTGAGAACTCACTGCAAGAATCATCTATGGTGTTTTTCTTGTATTGTGTCCTCCTCACATATTATGTTTTTAAAGATGTCCAAAGAAACCTGCAGGATCTCTTTATAAGGGCATACACCCATTTATGAGGGCTCTACCCTCATGGTCTAATCACTTTCCAGACCTTCTAATTCTGTTGCATTGAGAGTTTTCAACATATTAATGACAGGGGGAGGGGAACATGAACAGTAAGTTTGTTCAGGGTCTCACTTGGCTGGCCTAGAACACATTATATTTAGCAGACTGGCTTTGAACTCACAGAGATCTACCTCGCTGCCTCCTGAGTGCTGGGATTAAAAGCATGCACCACCAGGCTCAGGCGGGCTTTTTTATTTAATTCTTAAAATTTATTATTTTTAAAGATTGACTTTTCTCCTTTTTCCCACAGGAGCTGCTGCTCAAGAAGTTATCAAAGTAATCACCAAGCAGTTTGTAATTTTTAATAATACTTACATTTATAGTGGCATGTCACAAACTTCTGCAACTTTCCAGTTGTAGAATAAGTACCATGTGTAATATGTTAATGATTGAAACTGTAATTGTCTTCATATTGTGCTTTAGTTTGTAAAAATCTGTTAAAGGAGAGCAGTAAATTGTTTCCTTAATAAACATTTTCCTCATTTGTAGTACAGTCTTGTTGTTTGGGGTGTTGGGGAGAAAGCAGTCATTTTTCCACAGAATAAAAGCTATCTCTTTGTAAGTTAGTTCATTAATACTGGCTTGCTGTTTTTCACTTACATATCATAGACATATCTGTTTCATTAGAAAAAGTAAAAAAAAGATCTTAATGAATTGACGTGGATTTTAGCTGTTGACATTTTTATTTTATTATTACCATTTTTTCCCCGCTAGACAGGGTTTCTCTGTATAATAGCCCTGGCTGTCTTGGAACTCGCTCTTGTAGACCAGGCTGGCCTCAGACTCACAGAGATCTGCCTGTCTCTGCCTCCCGAGTGCTGGGATTAAAGGTGTGCGCCACTGCCTGGCAGCTGTAGACATTTTAAGATCATTATTTGTTAAAAGAAACATTTCAGGATTTGTAGTTTTATCAGAAAACAAAACCATTTCCTTATTGTCATTCATTATATATAACTAAAGATTTTACTCTATACCTACTTGTTGAAATTTCATAGGGTCATCCCATCCATAAATTTCATTTTAACGAATAAGCAAATTGGAATAATAGCACTTACCATCATGTTAGATGGGAAAGAACATTCCTTAAGAAGAGGAATAGCAGCAAACTAGAAATACAGAAATGGAAGCAGGGCTGTGTTTCTGACTTGTGTGTGGCAGGCTGAACGTGTTAATGCGACTCTTAGAAGCTTAAGGCCTGCAGTGTAATAGTCATTAAAGGCAATCTCCTGTGTGAGAACCTGTTATAGCTGACGAAAGGGGAGGGGTTAATAGGGCTTTTATTTTCTTGGATGCTAGTGTGTCGTTCTTGCTTGGCTGTCTAAACTGACTCTCCCAGAGCATGGCCGCCCTCTGTCAGTACTTCATCTCCATCTCCCTACATAGTCCTAATCGGATGGACTCTGTTAAGAAGGAAATATTACACCTGGACCGCATTTCAGACTGGAGCTGTGGTTCTTGGGTCTACACAGTAAGAAGTTGGCCAGAACCAAAAATTGTGGTTTGGGAATTTACCCAGTGACGCCGCTTTAGTGTGGTGAGGTGTCCGCCAATGGAATAGCCTATGTAGTTGAGAAAAGCCTGGCGGGCAAGGTCAGGAGGGAGCAAAGGGTCGTCTCCTAGAAGGGAAGTCCCAAATACTAAGGCAAGGTTAGATTATCCTCGAATTTCTCTAAAGCCCAGCACCACGCGCTGGCCACCTGCCCCCAGTACGCCAGCGACCCACCAGCTGCGGCTGTGAGCGCGGGCTCTGCGTCGTGCGTGCAGGTGTCCGGCCGGAAGTCCCGCCCAGCGGATGTAAACCTGGCGCGTGTTGGGTGGGAAACCCAGTCAGGCGTCGTAGTCTGGGCTTCCTCAGGGAAGAGCTGCTGTGGGGCTCCGGGGTAAAGGCCCGGGGTGTTATCTTGCTGTTGCCTTCCGGGGCAGGTGGGCGCCTGCCGCAGAGCTATGGTGCCGGTGTGGCCCAGAGGGGACCCATTGAGCTGAGGGCAAGGGCTGCCCTGAGCTCCGCTGCCCGGGCCAGGCCGCAGCTGCACAGCCTGCGGGGAAGGGCGGCATACTCTGATTAGCCTGACGCCTGTGGACGCCCGTGCTGCTCCAGGTGATTGCGGTGTGTGGAAGGCATCGTTTGAGAAGGAAGACGGGGCCGCGTGTCCCGGGAGCCTCAACCGAACCGCGAGCCTTGGGGATTGGGTGACTGCTCCCACGAGGCCTGGGGAGCCGGGCTTGGGAGCAGCGGAGAGCTGTGGAGGAAGGCCGGGCGCCGCCGACCCTCCTGAGAAGACTTCAGCTCTTTAGGTGAGCCATGCAAGCCTCGGTAGCCTTGAGCGAGAACAGGGAGCGGGACAGGGCCGCATTAGCCCATGGAAAAATGATGGCCCCGGGGCGGGTGAAGTGTGTCTCCCCTCCCACCCCCATCTCATCCATTCAGAACTGCGTCCTGTTGCCCTCAGTATGGGACCCGAATGACTTATTTCAGTCCCTTTAAACTTTGGAAGCAGAAAGTCGATAGTGCCCCTTAATGATAGATGCTATCTTGGCTTCCATCCCTACGACCAAAGAGGGGTGCAAACCAATACTCAACTACTTTTCTTACTTATTTTCTCTACTAGTTTTCCTTATAAAGTTAGTGCTTGACCTTAGTGTTTTGGAGAATCGTTCTCAACCTGTGGTCGTGACCCCCTTGGGTTGCATATCAGATATTTACATTAGGATTCATAACAGCTTTTGTTTTTCCAGACAGGGTTTCTCTGTAGCTTTGGTTCCTGTCCTGGAACTAGCTCTTTGTAGACCAGGTTGGCCTCGAACTCACAATGATCTGCCTGCCTCTGCCTCCCAAGTGCTGGGATTAAAGGCGTGCGCCACCACCACCCGACGAGCTGTTTATAATTTTAAAATTATCTTTTTTAAAAATTGCAACTGGTCCTTTACTATAAATATTTTTAATTAAATCTGTTTCTTTATGTATGTGTATGTACGTGTGTGTGTGTGTGTGTGTGTGTGTGTGTGTGTGTCGCGCGTGCGTGCCTGTATCGGTCAGCACGTGCATGGCTGGAAGGTAATCAGTGAGAGTGTTTTCGTCTACTTTGCGAGTCCCAGGAATCACCCTTCCTTTGATTGTGAGGATTTTCTGTTTGTTTTGAGACTATCTTTTATCTCCTCTTTCTCGCTGTTCCTGGATGGCCTGGAACTTTTTATGTGTAGCTCAGAGTGGCTTTAGACTTAGTGGGTCCGGGATCACACAATGATGTGGGGACAGACAGCCAAAGTTTATTCAACCAAAGGCAAGCTTTATTCCAGAAAAAGGAAAATATCACCATGGGGCACAGAAAGCTAATCAGCTATAGTTGTGACCACAGCCAGATGGGCTTGTATAGCTGTGGCAATGGGGACTGGTTTTGAGCCTCTTTTTATAGTAAAATCAAGCACCGGGTGGGGTCAAAGAGCTTTTACAAATTGAGATCAGGCTTAAAGTCACATTACATTTTAAATTTTACAACTTCTAACCCGGCAGTGGCTCACGCCTTTAATTCCAGCACTTCGGAGGCAGAGATAGCCAGATCTCTGTGAGTTCGAGGCCAGCCTGGTCTACAAGAGCTAGTTCCAGGGACAGGCTCCAAAGCTACAGAGAAACCTGTCTCAAAAAAAAAAAAAAAAAAAAAAGCACCTCTGGATATAGGGTGTTAACTTATGATATTTGCAAAAGCCTGTGGCTGACACAGCTGCTTTTCACTTTCACTGTCCCTAAAAGAATGCGAGGCAGAGAGTAGAGTCACATAGGGGGACAGATAAAAATTAAGGGAATACAAGTAGAGGGTCCCATAGTAATTAGAAGCTGACTTTGTCCCAGGTACCTGCCTAGCTGGGAAGCTAGGAGGCAGGAGACAGTTGTTAAAAGTTTGCCTCTGGTCAGGCGGTGGTGGCGTGTCTTTAATCCCAGCTCTTGGGAGGCAGAGAGCTCCAAAGCTACAGAGAGATCCTGTCTTGAACAAAAAAAAAAAAAAAAAAAATTACATCTGTATACAGTGGCTGCCAGGATGTCTGCTCTTAAGGCAGAAAGTGTTAAAGGTTAACAGTGGCTGCCAGTTTTATTTTTTTCTCCCAAAATGTGTTTGGGCTTACAGCTTTATATTTCTATATTCCTGGACTGGACCCTTTATTTCTATATTTCTATTCCTGGACTCTTCAAGATTCATCATCCTTCTGCCACTCCCTTTCCTGCCTGAAGATTACAGACATGCACCATCATGCCCGGAATATTTCATTCTTTCAATTTTTTTTTTAACATGAACTACTTCATGAATTTGTGTCTCACTCATCCTTGTGAAGGAGCCATGCTAATCTTCTCGGTATCGTTCCAGTTTTAGTATATGTGCTACTGAAGTAAGCATCCTGCCCAGAATACTTCTTAGAAGCTGATCTAACTAAAAATACCCTATCTTCTAGATGAAATGTAAGGAAAAATGACAAGCATGGAAAGTGAGAATACAAAGAAAATACAAGGTGAGAAATCCGTGAATCATGTGACTAGGTTAGTTTTATGTATTTTATAGTTGTGCAATTGTGGGTACGTGTGTGTGTGTGTGTGTATCATATCTAACAGCCTCTAGAAAATGAAAGAGTCATTCATCAATTCACATAAATGACATTTCTGGGGACACGAACAGTTGCTCACCCCAGGCAGGGAATTGCCAGTTGACTCAAGTAAGGGTGTCACCAGGTCCAACTTGCCAGTGAGTCTGCTGGCTTCATTGTAGGCATTTGAGTGTGGAGTTATTTACAGTACGGGTGACAGCTCATGAACGTCACAGGCAGCCTGACAGGTTGGAGAGTATCTCTTCCAGGCAGTTTAGTTGGTCTAAGCTTCTCTGAAGCAATGCTTTTGGTCAGGTGTTTCTCAGCAATCCTTGCCCTTTAACTAACCTTGAGCAAGGGGGGCCTAGCACAGCAGGTTAGTTTCAGACTTCATGAAATTCTAGGTTATTTACTTCCTAACTTTTAAGGGGCCTCACCCTGAGTTTTTTAATTTTTCCTTTTATTTATTATTTTTCTTTTGTTTTGTTTTTGATTTTTCGAGATGGGATTTCTCTATGTAACAGTCCTGCTTGTCTTGGAACTCTATCTGTAGACCAGGCTGACTTCAGACTTGCAGAGATCCACCTGCCTCTGCCTCTCAAGTTCTGGAATATAGACAAGTTCAACAGAACTGCCATATAAGTACTGCACACGTAGGCTTCAGCATTGCCAGGGCATAAATTTCATTCATTCATTTTCATTGCTCTGGAAGGCAGCAGTGCTCTTAACCACCGAGCCATCTCTCTGGTTCCACTCTCTCTCTCTTTTTTTTTTTTTTTTTTTCTGTTTCATGATTTCTGTATAGTTTTTTTTTCTTGCTTACTTTTGGCTAAGTTTGCTCGTTTTCTAGTTTCTTAAGGTGGAAGCTAAAGTCATTGAGTTAGGAACCATTTTCTTTTCTAACGTAGGCATTTAGTACTAGGAATTTCCTCATAAATACTGCTTCATTAGCATCCTATAAATTCTAGTATGTTGTATTTTCATTTAAAATAACAGTTTACTTAAAATATTTTTAATATATCTTAGATTATAAAGTAAATATTTACTTATTTTTAAAAAAATCAAGCATTTCCAAGTTATATAATTATGAAATAGAATTTGAACTATTGGTCTTTGAAAGAAAACTTTGCTTTTAAAATAATTTTCTCCAGTAGAAATGAAGACTGACCTGAACTTACTGTTGGAATGTCTGAAGTATCACATGGGCAACCCTTTGTCACAAAAGGAAGTTTTGATCACTATCCATTCCGTTTGTAAACAAAACAGTAAGACATAATAATGAACTTTATTCATAATTTTATTATTTTTTCTATTCTTTTCTCTTGCCTTTCTTCTCCTTCCTCCACTCCATCTCTCTCTGTCTATGCTGGCCTCTCCCTCTCTTCTTCCTTTGGTGTCATTCTTCTCATTTCCTCATGTAACACAAGCTGGTCTCAAAGTCTTGATCCGCCTGACAGTCTCCCCAGCATGGGGATTTCATGCATGTACCCCCACAACCTGTTGAATGATGTTTCTGTCCCACCAGGTCCCACAGCCATTTAGTCCCAAATAAACACACAGAGATCTATATTAATCATAAACTGGTTGGCCTAGTAGCTCAGGCTTCTTATTAACTCTTATAACTTCTATTAGCCCATAATTCTTGTCTGTGTTAGCCACATGGCTTGGTACCTTTTTTAGCGAGGCAGTCACATCTTGCTTGCTCTGTGTATGACTTCCTCTGTGTCTGGGTGACGACTGCAGACTGACTTTTTCCTATTTCCAGAATTTTCCTGTTGTCCTTGCCACGCCTCTACTTCTTACCTGGCTACTGGCTAATAGCATTTTATTAAAATACAATTGACAAAGTATAGACCATTGTCCCACAGCAACAACCCACTCTGGTTCCAGTTTTGTAGTACTCTACTATATTAATATGCATGGCTCTTTCTCTTCTACTCAATGTATGTGCTATATTACTTTATTCATTTGGTTCTTTTATCCTTAACAGAATAATCAAAGTAATTATAATTTCTATCTTGTTTTATCTGCAAACCCTACAGGTGATGCAGGTGTTTATTTCCGGGATATTGGTGGTTTGATGTTTGTAGAAAGTCTTGCAAAGTCAAGTGAGCATAGCATGGTAAAAGAAGCAGCCTTATATACATTAGGATCTATTGCAGAAGGAAATGGTAAAATACAAAATTTTATTTTTATGGTCCTTAAAATAATTTTAAATAAGTATTTAAATTTTTTTCTCTTTATTTAAGGGTGAATGCCAACACACCTGGCTTAACTTTTATTTTTAGGGTTACTTTGTTTCCTATGAGTTTTTTTCTTTTTTGAGTCAAGGTTATCATAAAGCACAGGCTGGCCTTGAATGCATAGTTCTCCTGTTTTGCTTCCTAAGTATTAGGATTGCAGCATGCCTAGTGTTATTTTTGAACTTTGAAAGACTTTTGCACCTCCAAATGTCTTAAGAAATATCATAAAGACTGGGCGGTGGTGGCGCACGCCTTTAATTCCAGCACCTGGGAGGCAGAGTCTCTGTGAGTTCGAGGCCAGCCTGGTCTACAGAGCAAGTTCCAGGCCAGGCTCCAAAGCTACAGAGAAACCCTGTCTCGAAAAACCAAAAAAAAGAAAGAAAGAGGGGCTGGAGAGATGGCTCAGTGGTTAAGAGCACTGACTGCTCTTCCAAAGGTCCTGAGTTCAATTCCCAGCAAACACATGGTGGCTCGCAACCATCTGTAATGAGATCTGGTGCCCTCTTCTGGTCTGCAGGCATACATGCAGAGTACTAAGAATACTGTTTACATAATAAATAAATAAATCTTAAATAAATAAAATAAAATAAAATAAAAGAAAGAAAAAGAAAAAAACCCATAAATATTGCAATATTGCTTGTCCCTCTCTTTTCCAAAGCAGATATTTGAATTTTTTGAAGTTTTTTTTTTCTTGCTTTGTTTTTAGGTAGTCTTCTCACTTGGCCTCACTTTTCACTTCTACTTGGTTTGATTTTCATTTTTTATTTGGTTAGGATTTTATTGGCAATTCTAGGGTATTTAAATGTTTGCTTTGGAGCTTAAACCAAGTCATTTTGATTTAGATATTGCTTGTTTGGGACTGACTAGATGGCTCAGTAGTTAAAGGCTCTTGCCTGAGTTTGATGTGTAGAACTCACATAAAGGGAAGAGAGAACTAACTCCCATAAATTGTCCTATGATCTGTAAGAGCATTGTGGTAGGTCTGCACCTGCGGGTGGGCACACACACTAATGTGCATGTACACATATACAAGTAAATAAATAAATATAATTAATTTTTTTAATATTACCAATTTGTTCTGCTAAGAACATATCAAGTTTTCATAGATTTTTATTGTTTCTAGTATATGTCAATTAAATGACATCTAGTTAAGAAACATCTCCAGTTTGACAACTTTTTATTTTGTTCGATGTATTTTTATGCTAATATATTAAAATGAAAATTGTATTTTATGTTTCAGTTTACTGTCAGCAAACTTTGTGTACTTCAGAATTATTTCAAGATTTAAATTTGCTCTTATCTAATGATGATTCAAACACAAATTTGAAAAGAATGTCCGTCTATGTTCTTTTGGTTCTGGTTTCAAATAATAGTAAGTATATTCTCTTATGAATGTTTAAAAACATTTTAATATATTTTGGAACAGTCATTAATACTTTATTCTAGTTATTCTTGTTATATTAGTGCCTTTTTTGAGACAGTTTCACTACGTTGACTACAGAGATCCACCTGCCTCTGCTTGCCGAATGCATTAGTGACTTTTTAATCTCATTAATATGCAAGAGATATGAGCTCTAAGAAAGGAATTAATAAGCATTTAATCATTGATATTTGTTAATTTTAAGAAATAGTGAGCCAGGTGGTGGTAGCACATGCCTGTAATCTCAGTACTTGGGAGGCAGAGGCAGACAGATCTCTGTGAGTTCAAGGCAAACCTGGTCTACAAGAGCTAGTTCCAGGACAAACTCCAAAGCTACAGAGAAACCCTGTCTCAAAAAACCAAAACAGAAAAGAAAAGAAATAGTGACATTATTTGTACTACATAATCTTTAAAAAGAAAAACAAGTGTTTAATGAATTGGTTGACTTTTCCCTGAATTGATCATTTTGTTACAAGATTTACTATATTAGACCGTGTTTATTTTGGGATAATTTTAGATTTACTGAGAAGTCGAAACTATAGTATAAAGTGTTCGTGTATACCTAGTTGGGACCTTGCATGTGTATGTACATGTGTGTATGTGTGTGTACGTGTGTGTTTGTGTGTGTGTTTGGTAGAAACTGGAGGTTGATGTTGGGTACCTTCCTCAATCAATTTTCATCATTTTATTTTTTTGAGACAAAGTCTCTGCGGCTTTCCAATTTGACTGATTGCCCAGCAAGCCCCAAGGATCAGACACAAGCTACTGTGCCTGATTTTTTATTTAGTTTTTATATGGGTACTGGGGATCAAACTCAGATTCTTATGCTGCCACTTTACTGACTGAGCCATCTCCCCAATCCCTTCATCTTTTAAAACTTGCTTCATTTAATTCTTGAAAATGTTAGGTACTTGAATTACTTCTAGATATTTTTCCTACTTTGGAAAACCTTAAAAAGATTTGTATTTTTTCTACTTTTAAGATTCTTTTCATATTGTAACAAAACTATAACTTAAGCATTTGTAATTTTTAGAGGAAAACTGAATGCTGTAAGTTGCTGAGCATAATATATTTTCCATAATAAAACCAGTTAAAAATTTTAAAAAATCAAAATTTTATGTATGTGGATGTTTTGCCTATATGTATATCTGTACACTAATTTGTGTATGCCTGTTACCCACAAAGGTCATAAGAGAGCATCAGATCCCTTGGAACTGGAGTTGTTAATCCACCATGTGGGTGCTGGGAATTGATCCCAGGTCCTCTGCAAAAATAGAAAGTGCTCTTAACTGCTGAGCCATCTCTCCAACCCCTTGATTACGAGTTTTTTCCTACTGTAATTCTGTATACTTTATAATGCTTTAAAGTAGCTTGAAAGCTAATTAAAATATTTTTAAATGTCTTAATTTCTATAAAATTATTTCTAAATAAAAGTCATTCATGTAACATATGGCTATTTTTTAAGGGAATGGACAAACGCTTGTAAGAGAAACAGGTTGTATTGAAGTTCTGTCACAGTTGTTCAGGTAAGTAAATAAATATCTTCTTATTTAATTGTTTAGGACATTAGTGCATTTATAATAATATATTACCTTTTCTTTTTAACCCAACAGGACAGTTCTTTCAAATTATGAGTTGAATTTGTCAGATAATAATGTTTTCCAGAGTTATCTGTTGTGGTCTTCAGTATGCAGTACTCTGTGTGTCTGTGTCAATAATCCTCAAAATGGTAATTATTTCAACTATTTAGATACAAATATAAAAACAAATGTGACTGATATTTTGCAAAAGTCAAATTAAAACATGGTTGGCTTTTCTCCTTCAGACGAGAATCAAATGCTTTGTTGTTCACTTTTTCCACATGTGAATGAATGGCTAGTGAACTGTATGAAACCTGAGATAATTCGCCCTATATGCTCATTTATTGGACTTACTCTTGCAAATAATAGTAAGTATTCGTTATTTTCTAGGTTTTACTTTAAGAACTCTATTTTAAAACATAAAAAAGACTATTAAATTCAATTAGTGATTTTGATGCTTCTAATCTGGACCATTTTGGATATAGTTAGATGGCTTTGTTTTGTTTAAGATAGGTCTCACTGGACAGACCTGGCTGGCCTAGAAATCGCTGTATGGAGCAGGCTGGCCTCAAGGAGATACTGACCTGCCTCTGCCTTGAGTTCTTGGCTAGACTTTTGAAGATAAGAAAATCTTGGAGTTAGTTGTTATTGGGAGGACATTGGAAAGACGATGACAGCAGCATAGTTGTTTCTTGGGAGGTGGGGTTTGAGAATGGTCTCTGTAGCCCAGACTGACTTGTAGAACTCTCCATATAACTAAAGATGACCTTGAGCTCATGATCCTTCTTCCCACAGACAAGTAAGCACCCTATCCATGAACATTATAAATCTCCTCACAATTGAGGCTTTGTTTTTGCAACATTTTGCTGTGTTAGTAAACTTTATCACAGTGACAACATACTTAAGACAATTTAAAAGGAAAAAAAGTTTACTTTGGTCATCATTTAGAGATGACAGTCTATGGTTTGGCTCTGGGCCTATGGCAAGGTAGTACACATCATAGTCGGACATGACTACATGATAAAGAAAACTGATCACCCGATGGAGCCAGGGAAACAAAAGCAGAGAGGAGCAAGGGCTCTTACATCCTCTTCAATGGCACATCTCAATGACTTATTTCTGTTAGGACCTACATCCTAAAGAACCCATGAGTTCCAAACAGCACTATAATAAGGACAAAGCCCATGGGTCTTTGGGAGACACTTATTAAAATGATAGCACAGACAATGCATATATTTCATTAAATTTACGCCTAAGTATTTAGTCAGGTATTTTTATTTTTTGAAATAGGGTATCTCTCTGTAGTTCAGGCTAGTCTCTAATTCATTATGCAATCCATTATAGCATCAAACTCACTGAAGTCCTCCTGCCTCAGCTTCTCAAGTGCTGGAATGACTTTGTGTGTCACTCTATCTGTCTTGTTTTCCCTCCAGGTTTAGCTACTTTTATTTCATGTATATCCATGTCTTCCTATATGTATGTGTACCATGTGCATTCCTGGTACCCATGGAGGCCAAAAGAGGGCATTGGATCCTCTACAACTAGAGTTACAATTGTGAGCTGCCATATGGGTTCTGAGAATTGAACCTGGGTCCTCTGCAAAAGTAGTCAGTACTCTTAACTTTTGATCTATGTCTTTAAGTCCAGGCTAGTGGGTTTTTTTTTTTTTTAATATATCGTGAGAAATGATGGAGGCTGGGGAAATGGCACAATGGGTAAAGCACTTGCCAGAAAGCATGAGGACTTGAGTTTGGATCAACCATAACTACATAAAAGCTGGTCAAGACACAGTGTGGCTATGGCTCCAGTGCTGGGGAAACAAAGATAGGCAGGTTCCTGGGGCTTGCTAGTCAGCAAGCCTAGCTGAAACAATAATTTCCAATTTCATTGAGAGACCTTGACTCAAAAAGTATGGTAGAGAGTGACAGAGGAAGATACCAAAGTTATTCTTGAGCTCCACATTGGAATTCACAGGAAATGTACCTGCAGCCACATGTTAATGCAAATATACACCCCCAACATACACACAGACACAAACGACAGTTTAAAGTTCCAATAGTTTCTTGGGGCAGATAGAAATACAATTGATTTTGTATGTCCTTATATCCTGCTATCTTCCTAAAATCACTATTAGCTATAGTAGCGTGTCTCGATTTACACACTCATGCATGATCGTGCCATTTGTGGGAAAAAAATCCTTCTTTTCAACTCTATTTATTTCACTTTCTTGCCTTATTTCACTGGCTAGGGATATCTAATAAAGTATTAAATAAAAATAATGAGAATAGCAGTTACATGTAGCATTATATATAGGCCTTTTATCATATTAAGTATGTTTCTTTTCTTTCCTAGTTTACTAAGAGTTCTTTCTTATTATGAAGATGTTACATTATATATACTACTTTTCCTTTAACTATTAAGATTATCTTATAGTTCTTTCTAACCAGTGATTATGGTTTCATAAAGTTAAAGCATAAAACAGGAATGATAGTGCACATTTCTAATTCCAGCATTTGGTGGGTAGAGGCAAGAAGTTTGGGAGTTCAAGGTTATCCTTGGCTACATAGAGAATTTTAAGTCAACCAAATTATATGAGATTCTGTCTCAAATAAACAAATAGTGTCTTTATATCTATGCTCATAATAGATATTGACCTATAATTTTGTTGTAATGCCTTCTTTCAACTTGGGTGTAATGCTAGTCTTATAGAATGTATTCAGAAGTGTTTCTTCCACTTCTATCTCTAGGAATAATTTATTAGGTTTTTGGGGGGCTTTTCCCCTGAAATGGTTGGTAGAATTCACCAGTAAAATTATCAAGCTTTGAACTTCTGTTTATTACAGCTTTAATATATGAATTCTGTTACTTTTTTTCTTTATTTTTCAGAGACAGGATTTCTCTGTGTTGTTACACACTCTGCCTGCCTCTGCCTCCCAAGTACTGGGATTACAGGCATGCGCCACCATGCCCAGTGAATTCTGAGTCTTTGAAAAAGAACTATGGCTGGGCTGTGGTGGCGCACGCCTTTAATCCCAGCACTCAGGAGGCAGAGGCAGGTGGATCTCTGTGAGTTTAAGGCCAGCCTGGTCTACAAGAGCTAGTTCCAGGACAGGCTCCAAAGCTACAGAGAAACCCTGTCTAAAAAAAAAAAAAAAAAAGAAAAAGAAAAAGAAAAAGAACTATGGAGTTGGGTGTGATAGCACACACCTGTAATCTCAGCACTTTGGAGGTGGAAGGGAAGAACCAGTTTAAGGCCAACCTCAGTTATACTGTAAATTCAGTATATGTAGCCTGAGCTACATAGCTCTCCTACACAAAACAGAGCACTATCCTACTATACATATAATTGTCCTATGTTGCTGGGCGGTGGTGGTGCAGCAGGATATCTGTGAGTTCAAGGCCGGCCTGGTCTACAAGAGCTAGTTCTAGGACAAAATCCTGTCTCAAAAAATTAAAAAAAAAAAAATTTGTCCTGTGTAGAGGGGAGGTGTTACTATTTTGTGTGTGTGTGTATGTGTGTGTGTGTGTGTGTGTGTGTATATATACACATAAATAGATGAAAGTTGAACTTTTAATTCTGCAACTTGGGGGAGTTTCAGTATTTGAAAAGCCATATTAAAAGTATTTAATATAAAATAATTGTACGAAACCATCACCTGCCTTTTTGAGAAATTAATGGTTTTTGCTACTTTATTCTTTAAGCACATGTCCAGAACTGCTTTGTATCTTCGGGTGGACTGGATGTTTTGTCTCAAGTTCTCGTGCAGCTGGAGTTGGATTCACACAATACTTTTTCCAGTGCAAAACTTGCAGTGATGGTGACAAAGACCTTAGATGCATGCATTACTAATAATTGTGAGTGAAAATCTTAATCAATTTTCTATAATTGAACTTTGTTTGAACTGAACATGGTGAATGTTGAAATGCTACATTAGATCTATTGTTGGCAAAATTTCCAGCTTCTTACAAATGGGAGGGAATCTTTGAAATTATCTAGTCCAGTTCCTTATTTTCCCATCAGAAGTTACAACTGCCCTAAGGAAGCACATTTAAGTCTTTTGACTTTAGGTCTAATAGAGTCAAAATAAAATCCTATTATTCTTAAGTTTATTTCACTTAAAAAGCTGTTTTAGCAAGACGTTATAGTGCACACCTTTAATCCCAGTTTTTGGGAGGCAAGGCAGGTGGATCTCTTGAGTTCCAGGCCAGCCATAGTAACAGAGTGAGACCTTGTCTAAAAATAAGCAACTTTTCTTAAAAAAAATTTTAGATGACAAACCAAAAGACACTGAGATATTGGAAAACCCAATGTACAAAATTTCAGAAATTATGTAAATAATTAAAGTTAGGCTATAGAGGTGCTTCAGCAGTTAAAAGCTCTTGCTGCTTTTCCAGAGGACCTAAGTTTGTCTCTCAACACCCAAGTTGGGCAGCTTACAGCCACCTGCAACTCCAGCTCCAGGGGATCCAACACCTTCTAGCCTCTGCAAGAACTTGGACACGTGTGGCATATACTTACATAGAGACAAATACGTATACATAATACTTTAAAAAAAATAAAGCATGGCTTTGTGATGAGGGTGATGTCTCACATACCTAGTGTACGAGAGAGCAGTAGAACCAGATCTAGAACACATCTGCTTCTCATTGGTACACTCAGAGTTGATAGTCTGTAAATCCTTGTCATGAGGAACCCTTTATACAAACAACCTGAAAAGTAGATGACTGAGTTGTTTTGTTTTTTGTTGATTTTTATTGAGCTCTACATTTTTCTCTACTCCCTTCCCTGCCTCTTCCCTCCCCTTCAACCTTTCCCAAGGTCCCCATGCTCCCAATTTACTCAGGAGATCTGTCTTTTTCTACTTCCCATGTAGATTAGATCCATGTATGAATCTCTTAGGGTTCTCATTGTTGTCTAGGTTCTCTGGGATTGTGATTTGTAGACTGATTTTTCTTGGCTTTATGTGTAAAAGCCCCTTATGAATGAGTACATATTATATTTGTCTTTCTGGGTTTGGGTTACCTCACTCAATATGATGTTTTCTAGCTCTATCCATTTGCCTTCAAATTTCATTATTTTTTCTGCTGTATAGTACTCCATTGTGTAAATGTACCACAATTTCTTTATCCATTCTTTGGTCAAGGAGCATTTAAGTTGTTTCCAGGTTCTGGTTATGATAAATAATGTTGCTATGAGCATAGTTGACCACATGTCCTTGTGGTATGATTGCTCATGACTCTTACCAATGTAAATTTTAGAATCAATTTGTAAAGTTAAAGTATGGGAATTTATAGACAGGTATGGTGGGGCATGCATTTAATCCCAGCACTCACGGGATTCATTTCTGATTTTCTGTAAACATCCCTGGTCTGTATCTGCTCCTGCAGAGGTCCTTGGCTTGGGGTTGGTCCTGCAAAGGTCTCTGGCTCTGATCTACTCCCTCGGAGGTCCCAGACTCAGGTGTGCCCAGACCCGCAGAGAGCCTGGCTTAGGCCTACTCCCTCAGAGGCCTTAGACTCATGCCTGGACCCACAGAGATTTCTGGTTCCTGACTAACCCCTTTGATGTACGAGACCAACACCCAGACCCTCAGAGGTCCCAGACTCGTAGATGGCTGAGGTTTTAAAGATTTATTTTATGTGTATAAGTGTTTTGCCTTAATGTTTGTATACCATGTGTGTTCCTAGTGCCCATAGAGACCGAAAGAGGATATTGAATCTTCTGGAACTGGAGATATAGGTGATTGTGAGCCACCATGTCAATGCTCAGAATCTAATCTGAATCTTCTTCTTTAAGACCAGCAAGTTCTCTTAACTACTGAGCCATCTTTCCAGCCCCTAGATGACTGTTTAATAAGCAGTTAATGAATACCTGGTGTGTGCTGAATCCCAAAGACATAAAAGTAGTTGAGATATGTCCCATCAGTCATGAGATGTATCAGCAGGCAAAGGTTCCTTCTTTCAAGGCTGATAACCTGTCTTTAATCCTGGAATTCATGTGGTGGAAGGGAAACTGACTCCTGGATAAAGCTGCCATTTGATCTCTGTGTGCACCATGGCATGTGCTATGCACACACAAACACAATAAGCAATTGTTTAAAAAATTAAATGATATAGTACCTTAAGGAATTCACAACTTTATTGTTAATGTCTGTAATACCAGACTCTGGATGAAGTCTGTTAAAAACCCTATGAAGGCCATGCAGGGTAGTGCATACCTATAATCCCAGCATTTAAAAAATAGAGGCAGGCTGGGCAATAGTGCTGTACGCCCTTAATCCCAGTACTTGGGAGGCAGAGGCAGGTAGATCTCTTTGAGTTCGAGGCTAACCTGGTATACAAGAGCTAGTTCCAGGACAGGCTCTAAAACTACAACAAAACCCTGTCTAAAAAAAAATAGAGGCAGGAGGATCAGTTACAGGTTAGCCTCTGCTTAATAAGTTTAAAGTCATCCTGGGCTGTGTCAGACCCCATTTCAGACAATCAAAAATAAAACAAATACCTTATAAGGAAAAGTATAACTTAATAGTAAACTTTTTGAATCTAATCATAGTTCATCATAGGTTTATATATAACCTTCATTGCATCATGTTAGTAGTGTCTTAGTGTTATATTTCAATGTCAAGCAGGATTTGATTATCTAGTAATGCACTTACAGTCTAATGTAGATAGAAGGAGATATGTAAGGTAAGAGTAGGTATGTTTACCTTTTAGGAATATAGTATTAATTCATAGTTACAACATCATGCAAAACAACTAAGAAGAAACCATTATAAAAGAAGAACATAAGTCAGGCAGTGATGGCACACGCCTTTAATCCTAGTACTTGGGAGGCAGAGGTGGGTAGATCTCTGTGAATTTGAGGTCAATTTGGTCCATAGAGCTAGTTCTAGTACAGCCAGGACTACAAAGAGAAGTCCTTAAAAAAAAAAAAAAAAAAAGAACCAAAAATAAAGCCCATAAATGACTAGTCATGATGATGCACACCTTTAATCTAGGGAGAGAGAGGCAAGTGGATTTCTCTTGAGTTTGAGGCCAAACTGGTTTACAGAGAGAGTTCGAGGTCAGCCAGTACTACATAGAGAAACCCTGTCTCAAAACAAAAAGAGTATATAATGAGGACTATAATAATCCATCTTATTATAATGTATTAGTTAAATTAACATATATGTATATATATATTAGATGCTACATTGATGTGGGGTTCTCTGTATGCTGTGAATACCATTGGTTAATAAAGAAACTTGCTTAGCCTGATAGGGTGGAACAGAGCTAGGCAGGGAAAACTAAACTGATTGCTAGGAGAAGGAAGGCAGAGACGGGGAGAAGCCAAGGAGCCTCAGCCAGAGACAGCTAAAACCTTGCCGGTAGGCCACGAGCCTCATGGTAAAATATAAAATACTAGAAATGGATTAATACTAGATGTAAGAGCTAGCTAGCAATACACTTAAGAGATTGGCTAAGCGGTGATTTAAATAATATAGTTTCTGTGTGATTATTTTGGGAGACTGGGCGGCCGGGAAAACAAACAAGCAGCTTCCTACTATACTACGTGACACGTATATATTAGATAATATGTAAGCATGTGATAGTTTTCCTAAATAAGCTCTGAAAACATAATATATTTGTACTTAGAAATTTTAAATTTGTACTTTTCCCCCCTATATTAAACTGGTAGCTTCTTTTTCAGTGGTATTATCCAAATACCACATTGTTTCAAAACTTCTGTCATTACTGCTTCATCAAAGTCTTGATTTGGGAGAAAAATTCAGCATCATACTTGCCATTGGTCACTGCACAGAGGATTGTGGTGAGTATTCAGTTAACTCAGTGTGTGTAGTAAAACTGTGGGGTGGAAACCTTTGCTTCTTTCCCCTCTTGTTGTATGAAAGGCTTAACATCCAGCTTTCCTTCCAGTCACTTAAGCTCTTACATTCTTTCTCATATTCTGTTCAGTTAGTCACTGAGGCCTCTGGCTGTTCTTCTCTCTTATTCCATACTTCTTTCCCACTACCCCAGCCCATTCCCACCTTTCTCCAGGACGACTGTAGCAGCTACATTATCTGCTGTTCCTTCTCTCTCCATTTCCAGTCCTCTTCGAGTCAGTATTTAATCCTGTTATCCCTCACTGAAAGCTCTGAAAGGCCAGTTCTCCCAGCCTTCAGTGAAAGCTTTCAAAGATTTTGTTTCCTCTGTTTCCATCCCAGTCTCCCTCTAATCTAATCTATCATTCCAAACCATCTCCATTTTCCTCTCTTCTAATCGTTTCCCTTCTTCCTCTCACTTTCCCTCTTCTCTCTTCTCCCTCGTTTCTTCTGTGTTCTTTCCTTAATTTTTGTTTTCTTTACCAGTTTCGCTATTCTTTCCCTTAACTTTTTAAGAATGTTTTTCTTATGCATATGTATGTAGGCGTGTGTGCGTGCGTGCACCCACAGAGGCCAGAAGAGGAGGGCTAGAGTTAGAGGGGTTATGAACCACTTGATGTGGGTACTGGAAATCAAACTTGGGTCCTGTGCAAGAGCAGCAAGTGCTCTTACCTACTGGGCCATCTTCCCATTCCCTACTCTTGATCTTTTTGAAACCAAATGAGAGCTATTTGTTTACTCTTACATGGTGTAGTACATTGTGGCAACATTTTAGAAATCATCATTTATGAGACTTAGCTTCTGTAAAAAGATTATCAAATTGAAAATACTTTTGAGATTATATCTTTATTTTAAAGTTTAAATTATGTTCATACTTATCATAGTGATGAATCATGACCTCATGAAAAGCTTTATAAACTTTATGAAAAAATAATCACCATTTTAATTTTTGATATTTTTACAGAGAAAAATCAGTATGAATTTTTAAAAAGCAATGGGCTTCCACTAATGATACAAGCCTTAACTGAATTTAAGAATGAAGAACTAAGCAGAGCTGCCACTTACGTACTTCACAACTGCAAAAAAATTAGTAAGTTTACTGTTACTTTAGGGAAATATCAGTTAGCTTGGCATGGTACTTTAAACCTTTATCCTCGCCCTGGGAGGCAGAGGAAGGCACATTTCCTATGAGTTCAAGGCCAGTATCTACAGGAGTTCCAGGCCAGCCAAAGCTACATAGTAAGACTTTTATCTCAAAGTAATTCTTGAACAGAGATCCGAATGTCTAGAGTTAATCATGTGAAAAGAGGAAATGTTCTGTGGGCAAATGACTCAGGCCTAAGCAACAGGTTCTAGTTTAGGAGGGAGGTGGATGTATTCAAAGAATTGATGGACAGTCTAGCTGGAGCCCGGAGAGCTGGCAATAGCTATAAGATTTCTTTGTGAATGAAAAATATGGACGTAATAAATTATTAAAAAGACTTTTAAAGCCGGGTGGTGGTGGCGCACGCCTTTAATCCCAGCACTTGGGAGGCAGAGGCAGGTGGATCTTTGTGAGTTCGAGACCAGCCTGGTCTACAAGAGCTAGTTCCAGGACAGGCTCCAAAGCTACAGAGAAACCCTGTCTCGAAAAACCAAAAAAAAAAAAAAAAAAAAAAAAGAAGAAAAGAAAAGAAAAAAAAAGACTTTTAAGCATATTTATGACCTCTAGTTTGCTTTCTCCTGTTGTAATAAACATTATGACCAAAAGCCACTTAGGGAAGAAAGGATTTATTTCATCTTACACCTTACAATACATTGTAAAGGGAAGTAAGGACAGGAACTCAAGACAGGGACATGGAAACAGGAATCGAATCAGAGGCCATGGAGGAATACTGCTTATATAGCTTGGTCAACTTGCTTTTGTATATAACACAGGACCACCTGCCCAGGGATAGAACCTCCTCCAGTGATTCGGGCCTTCCTACATCAATCATTAATCAAGAAAATGTCCCAGAGAGTTGTCTACGTGCAATCTGCTACAATATTTTCTCAGTTGAGGTTCCCTCTTCCCAGATGACTCTTAACTATGTCAAATGAATGAAAAACTAACCAAAACAATCTATTTTGGGCTAGAGATGTAGTTCAGTGATAGAGTATATGCTTAGCATGTGACTAACTCTGACTTTAACTCTTGTATTCCAAATAAACTACTTTAAAGCCAGTAACCTTGTATCTGGAATAACATTTTCATGTGTTATTTTCTAAAACTATGAGAAATAGTCTAATTTTAATAAGTCCTAGGCATCTGCTATGCCTTTTTTCCACTTATTTCAGTACCAGTTATGGTATATGGATATACAAATTAAAGATGGGATGGGGTGGAATCTGTAGTTGTCCTTTAAGTGTGACAATAACATTTCTAGTAATGATAAACTCAATACTCGCTTTCCCCTATTTCTCCCTCTCCCTGCATCCCATATTACAAAGCTGAGAAATTATCTCTAAGTCTACAAGACATTTCTCTTGATGAAAATGAAGCCAACCAACAAAAGGACATACATGAAAAAGAGAATCTTGAAGAGCACTGGAAGACAGCAAAAGAAATTATATGCAGAATAAAACAATTTGAAAGAGAAGGAAAAGAGGTTGGTTTTATCCATTTCACAGAACTCTGGCAAATAATTTAAAACAGTAGAAGTTGGCATTAAAAATGTTATTCTCCAGTTATTTTTTAAAATGTTTAATGTAAATTTTAACAGTAGTACTTAAAGAACTCAACACTGGACATAGAACAACTTTTTGCACTTTTTTCTTTATTATTAAAATAAATTCCGTGTGTGTGTATGTGTGTGTGTGTGTAGTGTGTGTCTCCAAATGCCTGAAGGGGTCAGAAGAGGACACTAGATCCCCTGGAGCTGGAGTTATAGGTGGTTGTGAGCTGCCTGACATGGGTGCTTGTATTTTAGCTCATAGTCTGTAAATTCCTAACTATTGAGTCATCTCTCCATATCCTATTTCTTTTATTTTTACTTTTATTTATGTGTATATGCACACCACACACTTAAGGGAGCCCTAAGAAAACAGAAGAGGGTGTCGGATATCCTGGAGTTAGGCTTACAGGTAGTCGTGAGCCACTTGATGTGCGTGCTAGAAACTGAACCCAACTGCAAGAGTAGTATGTTCTCTTAACCACGGAGCCATCTCTTCAGCTCCTAAATGATTTATTTTATTTTAATTTAATATTCATGGGTATCTTACCTGCATTTATGTCCTTGTACTATATGCATGCCTGGTACCCAAAAGGCCAGAAGAGGGCATCAGATCTGGAAACTGGAGTTAAAGTTGTGAGCCATCAGGGAATCAAACCTAGGTTATCTGATAGAGCAATTACTGCTCTTGACTCTTGAGCCATTTTTCTAGCTCTCCCAAATGATTTTTAAAGGTGTGTGTGTGTGTGTGTGTGTGTGTGTGAGTATGCACATATGTGAATGCCTATGGAGGCCAGAATTAGGAGCAGATCCCCTGGAACTGGAGCTACAGGTGATTGTGAACTACCCATTGTGGGTTCTGGGAACTAAACTCAGGTTCTCTAGAAGAGCAACAAGCTTTCTTAAACATGGAGTCACCTTTCTAGCCCCTAAAGAATATTTTTCTAACGTAGAAATGGAAACAGGAAAGACTAGCTACATAAATGATAAAACTAAGAAATCTAACATCTGAATAATAGTTCAACAATTTTTCAAAAGAAACGATCTAATGTTATTCCCTCTTCCCCACTCCCAAACACATACATGGTCTTATGTCTAAATAGCAGAAGTATGGTCTGACAAATGCATCTGTAGATAATTCCTTCATTGTACAGGCATCACAGTAAGACGGTAAAGGTCAAGAGATACAATACATTTAAGAAGAATGAGGGTGTGGACAGGGGCTTAGTGGTTAAGAGCATTTGTTGCTCATGGAGGAGACCTGGGTTCAGTTCTTAGCACACATGCAGTGGCTAACAACCATCTGTAGCTCTAGTTCCAGGGAATCCTATACTCTCTTCTGGCCTTCACAGTTACCAGATATGCATGTAGTGAACATACACACATGCAGGCAAAACACTCATATACTTAAATTCAAAACAAATCAATTTTTACAAAATGGGGGGGTACATAAGAGTTTACTGCTGACTAAAACAGTGAACTGTTTTATAATAAACTTTAATTTTTATTTCTTTTTTATTAAATAGAAGGAATATACTAAAATAATGATAAAGGTATAGCATAGTAAATTATTATGGGATATTTGTATACTGTGTGAAGATATATTGCTATGATTGATGTAATAAAAAGCTGAATGGCTAATAGCTAGGCAGCAGGTTTAGGCGGGATTTCTAGGAAAAGAAAGGAAGAGGAGGAGGAATCAAGGCATGCAGGAGAAATCAGGAGACATGGAGAGAAAACAGGAGGTACAAGATGGAAGAAACGTAATGCCACATGATAGAACGTAGATTAATATAAATGGGTTAATTTAAGTTATAAAAGCTAGTTGAGGGCTGGAGAGATGGCTCAGAGGTTAAGAGCACTGAGTGCTCTTCCAGAGGTCCTGAGTTCAGTTGCCAGCAACCACATGGTGATTCACAACCATCTGTAATGAGATCTGGTGCCCTCTTCTGGCCTGCATGCATACATGGAGACCAAATGTTGTATACATAAGAAATAAATCTTTTTAAAAAAAGTTAAGTTGTATTTAGAAAAAAAAGCTAGTTGAGACAAGCTTAAGCTAAAGGTTAAGCTTTCATAATTAATATAAGTCTCTGTGTCATTATTTGGGTTCTGCCAATTCCTCTGAGCCTCAACCAGGGAAGGCTTTGCTTCCATGGGTCTAAGGCATTGGGTCCTTGACATAGCTGTGCCCATGTCAACAATACACATTCACTCTGGACTTCCCTCTCTCCACACACATTGTTGGGGGAGAGTGCACATGTATAAGATAAGCCTATGGAAGTCAGAGGATACCCTTAGGTGTTAGTCCTCAGATGCTTTCCATGTTTTGTTTGAAACAGTTTCACTTTGGCTTGGAACTTTACCACATACACCACAATAGCTAGCTTGAAAGCTTCCAGGGATCTGCTTGTATCTAGGAGAGCTTTCAAAGTTATTTTATATGATCAAGCATATTAGGTTTTTTGTGATATAGTTATTGTTTGCTATTTAGAAAGGTCTTCTACCCCTTGAGAATAGTTTCTTTTATAATGGATATGCTTTCCTCTTTTCTAATTTATCAATTTATTTTACATCTCCCCCCACATCCTCTCCTCCCAGTCCTTTGACCCAATCCCCCACCCTATACTTTCTTTTTTAACCTCTATTTATTTATTTATTTATTTATTTATTTATTTATTTATTTATTCATTCATTCATTCATTCATTTATTTATTTATTTATTTATTTATTTATTTATTTATTTATTTATTTGTGTGTGTGTTTGTGTGTGTCTCACGCAAGCCCAAAGACAACTTGTGGGTCTTGGGAATCACACTTATGTTGTCAAACTTGGCACCAAGCACCTTTACCCACCTATCTATCTCCCTGGGCCTATATTGTTATTCTTAAAAAACGATTCCCGGGATTCCTGGGCAGGCTGGCGGAGCCCGCCATGAGAAAGCGGCTACAGGAGGGCACGCGCTGTGCCCACGGTGGCGGCAGGTAACAGACACGCAAACACAGGAAATAGCCATAAGTATTTATTAAGCAAGAGGGAGAAAGAAAGACAGAGAAAAGAGATAAAAGAGAAAGGAGATAAAAGAGAGAGACAGAGAAAACGCGCGCGCACGCCAAGGAAGCAGAAAGAGGAAGGGGTCCCAAGATGGCGATGGGCAGGTCAGAGGTTATGGAAGTGGGCGTGGCTAGGGCAGGGACCAAAAGAATAACATATATAATTTCATTTAACATTTTAAAAATATTTGGTTCACTTTTATTGTTGTGAAACTATCATATAGCTACATTTCCCCCTGGGTAGCTTCTCAAGTATCCTAATATCATTTATTAAATCAATTTTTTTAAGCCAGGTGGTGGTGGGGCACGCCTTTAATCCTAGCACTTGGGAGGCAGAGGCAGGCAGATCTCTGTGAGTTTGAGGCCAACCTGGTCTACAAGAGCCGGTTCCAGGATAGGCTCCAAAGCTACAGAGAAACCTTGTCTCGAAAAAAACCCAAAAAACAATAAACAATTTTCTTTCTCTTCCTAATGTAAGTTATTCCTTTTATTGTAAATGTTATATTAAAAATCATAAAGTTTTTATATATTACTTAAAGGAAATGTAAAGCATATTATAAAGAAATGATTGTATTGAAATTATTTACTTGCTATTTTTTATATTGTAGGAGAAATTACAAAGTGACCAATACAAGGATAATGCCTCATCTATGAAAATAAAAATACAGAACAATTTGAAACGTCTCAGTGCAGATAGTATTAGAGGTACCAAAGTAGAAAATAAGGATACAAACCAGTCTAGACAGCTTCACAGTTCTAAGTCCGATGACATCACATCTAAAACTTGTGCAAATGAAAACCAAATGAAGACTCTGAAAAAGAACACAAATCCCCTTAATCCTTGCTATAGGGAGAGAATGCAAAATAAGAATTTACATAAAGCCACTTCAAGCTGCACCCAAAACTTAAATGAAAAGATGACTTTTAATCAAAAGGATTCTGTTTCTCAATCAAGGTATAGTTAATGATTATAGTATTTATTTATTCAATAAGAATATATTGTGTGCCATGTTGTTAAGCACTGTGGATATAGGAATGGTAAACCTGGTAGTGGGAGGAGTCTAATGTAGGAATTCTTTTTGTTTCCTTTTTTTTGAAATGTATTTATCCTTTTACAATTTCATACATATAAAATGTCCTTGTTTCCCTTTCACAGTATTCTTATCCTCTGCCAATCACTTTTTTCTTCCTAGTAAGTGCCCTTCCTACTCCCAGGCCTTATAGAGTATGTGCTTGTGTGCCTCACTGTCTTTCATTAGGGCAGGAATGGGAGAGGAAAACAGTTGAGACAGGATCTCCTATATCCCAAACTTGTACTAGCTGAGAATGACCTTGAAATTCTGACCCTCCTACTTCTACCTCCCAACTGCTGATATTACAGGCAAGTATGACAACACCCAGGTTTTACAGTGCTGGGGATTGAACCCATGACCAGTTGACGCTGGATAAATACTCTACCAACTGAGCTACATCCCCAGCTCTAAAGGTTGCATTGTTGTTTTTTGTTTGGCCAGGTGGTGGTGGCGCACACCTTTAATCCCAGGATTCAGGAGACAGACGCAGGTGGAACTCTGTGAGTTAGAGGCCAGCCTGATCTGTAGAGCGAGTTCCAGGACAGGCTCCAAAACTATACAGAGAAATTCTGTTTCCAAAAACTAAACAAACAACAAACAAAACCAAAATACCAAACCAATAATCGTTGTTAATATCTGTGGTAGTGTGAAATTGGTCCCCATAAAAGGGTTAGTTATGACAAAAGGGTTAGTTATGAATAAAGGGTTAGTTAAGTTGGTGGGGTCCGTGCCTAGTGTGCACAAAGCCATGGGTTTAATTCCCAGTACTGCATTCAGTAGTCAGAGTGACACATGCCCATAATATAGCACTCAAAGTGAAGCTAGGGAGATCAGGGGCTCAGAGCCATCTTCAACTACAAGTCGAGAGCCAGCGTGGGCTGTGTGAGACTCTCTCAAAACACAAAATAAACATACTTTGCCATATCTTTTTTTCTCTTTTAAATATTATATTTATTTATTTTCATTTTATTTTCTGTGTATGGGTATTTGCCTGCATGTATGGCTATGTACTGTATGCATGTTTGGGGCCTGCAGAGAGGCCAGAAAAGGGTGTCAGATACCCTGGGACCTGAGTCACAGATTACTGTGAGCTACCCTGTGGGTGCCGGAAATTGAACCTGGGTCCTCTGGAAATGGACTACTTAACCACTGAGCTATCTTTCCAGCCCCCCATCAACAATTTATTTGCCAGTCACAAATGTATGGTTCCATATATGGAATATTTTTTTTCTGAGATTAGATCAGGTTGACCTCCAACTCATGACACTCCTATTTCAGTCTCCCAAGTGCTGGGATTAGAGGTATATGTCCTATGCCCAGTTTACAAATGGCTATTGTCTTAGTTAGAGTTTCTGTTGTTGTAAAGAGACACCATGACCACAGCAACTCTTATGAAGAAAAACATTTAATTGGGCCAGTTTACAGTTCAGAGGTTTAGTCCATTATGGTGGGATATGGCAGCATGCAGGCAGACATGGTGCTGGATCTGCAGGCAGCAGAAGCCGCTGTGTACCACACTGAACATAGCTTGAGCAAAGGAGACCACAGAGTCCACCCCCACAATGACACATGTCTCCAGTAAGTCCACACTCATTCCAACAAGGTCATGCTTCGTAATAGTGTTACTCCCTATGAGCTTATGGGGGCCAGTTGCATTCGAACTATCACAGATAATGACAGTGATTATTGTTAGATTATTGTTTGCTGTCTTGTCCTCCGTGTTCTTCTCCAACTGATTTTGTTCTCTCCCTTTTGGCCTTCATTTCTTCATTTTCTTCCTCTTCCTCCTCTTTTTTTTTTTTCTTGAAATCAAGTCTGTATTCCCAGACTGTCCTTAAATTCACTCTGTATTTGAGGGTGACTGAGTTTTTTTTTTTTTATCCTCCTATAATACTAGGGATTGAACCCAGGGCTTCACAAATGCTAGGCAGACACTTTACCAGCTGAGTTACATCCCTAGTTCATCTTTTCTTCTTTTAAATTTTATTTTTTTCTGTATTCTTTTTTTAGAACTCAGACTATTATTCATTGATCCATTTCTCCCACTTAAATACTTTGTCATATGCTAGGAATCAAACAGGTGTGTGTCCTTTGCCACATAAAGTGAGTGTGTTAACACCTAATTCCAGCACTTGAGAGGTAGAGGTAGAAGGATAAAAAATTTCAAAGTCCATTTGATTAGTTTGTCACCAAGGCCAGCTGGACTGAGACTGAACGAGCATGTGATCAAACCAGACTCACTGAATGTGGCTGACAATGAGGGCTGACTGAGAAGCCAATGATAATGGCACTGGGTTTTGATTCTACAGCATGTACTGGCTTTTTGGGAGCCTAGTCTGTTTGGATGCTCACCTTCCTAGACTTGGATGGAGTGGGGAGGGCCTTGGACTTCCCACAGGGCAGGGCATCCTGACTTCTCTTAGGACTGGAGGGGTAAGGGGAGGGAAGTGGGAGGAGGTGGAAATTTTTAATATATAAATTAATTAATTTAAAAAAATTTCAAAGTTACCCTTTTTACAGAGCAAGTTTAAGGTCAGTTTGGGATATAGGAAAATTGGGTTTTTTGTTTGTTTTGTTTTGTTTTTTTTTTTTAGAAGGAGGGGCACTACATCCCTAGCCCTCTGTTAGTGATTTTTTTTTTTAATTTTTTTGATTTATTTAGTATGTGTACAGCCTTCCATGTGTGCCTGCATGCCAGAAGGGGGTGCCAGGTCTCATTATAGATGGCTGTGAGCCACCATGTGGTTGCTGGGAATTGAACTCAGGACCTCTGGAAGAGCAGTCAGTGCTCTTAACCACTGAGCCATCTCTCCAGCCCTGTTAGTGATTTTTTTTTTAAAAAAAATAGTATTTTGCTTATATCTTCTTTTAATCAATGTTTTTATTCTCTGGAGTCTTGTTTACTTCTACAAATAAGACACTGATTATTGCAGATCCTACTTTAGCC